TCATCTTAATTTTAACATGATTGGATTTTTAATACTTTTATTTATACTTTCTACTACTTTAATTTTTGTTAAAAAATTCAAATCTAAGATCATCCTTGTAAGTATTGCTTTAAGATTTATTTGTTATTCTTTTAATTTTTGTTTTGATAATGAAAAAATTAAAATTATACTTTTAACTTTACATATATCAGTTAATATACTAGCTCCTTATTTATTAGTAACAGAATTCTTCCCTGATAGATATGTAAGATATGGAATTTTTATTGGTGAAATAACTACAGTTGTTTTTAGTATACCCAATATTCTTTATTTAAATGATTCAAGTTTTTCAATATACAAAAAAGCATATTATTGTTTCATTTCACTAGTTTGTTTTATAATTATACTATTTTATTATAATTCTAAAGGGTTTCATAGATTTAAATAATAAATTAATTAATTTTAGAAATAAAGTATAATTTTATTTTTTTTAATTAAAAAATATTTTACTTCAAAATATTTAATATTCTATCAATAAAACCATGACTATTTTTAACTTCGTTCAGTCGTTTTAAAAGTTCATGAACATAAGATTTGCAATCTTTTGAAATTAAATATTCAATTAACTTTACTAATTTGACCTCTAATATAACATTAATATCATTTACCCTTGCACATATGCCTACCATTTTCATACCAACACCAAATACATTATCTACATCATTAGTAATTATATAAATATTATATAAACTTTCTAAGTGTTCAAGTGTGTTATCATTATCATTATTATTTGAAAGAAGAGAATCATTTTCTATTGAATTTTTTATAGTAAGATTATTAATTGGGATCCAAAACTTTTTATGGTAGATAAGTACCAGTTCATCTTTGTATTTTACATGCAAAATATATTTTTCATCAAAATATACATTAGAAATATTTTCTTTATACTCTGGAATACTAGTTTCTAGAAATACTTCCATATTTAGTAAATTAATAATCTTAATAGTTGTTTTATCAGCTAATAACAACCTATTATCTCTCAAATCAATACAAGTAACATTGATATGAATATAAGGATATACCAGCATACCATTAACAATATAATATATTCGAACATAATCATCATATATTATCATATATTTGTTATTATAGACAACATTAGGATAACGACTATTAATGTGTAATTTGTATAATAATATATTATTAACAAAAATACAAATTTGATCATTTTCATATTTCATCTGATATTTCATTCTATTTACATCTATTGTTTTTGTATAAACTTTACTATCAAAATTTTCATTGTTAATTCTAACTTTTGTTTTTCCATCAATTTTTTTGTTATCTTTAGAAATTGAAACAGGTGTAATTTTTCTTACTTTTGATTTATTACTTTCAGTTTTTTTGTCCTCTTCAACCATTTCAGTTTTCTCCTCTTTAACTTTATTAGGTTCATCAATTTTATCTTTAAAAAATTCTTTTTCTAATAAAATATTTTCTTTAGTTAAATTCAGTTGGTTTTGTTTGTTCTTAACATAATTACAGTTTAATTCATCATTATCAAACTCAACCACCTTAACTACTCCATCATATGAAGCACATACAAGTGCATTCTTATACCAAAACATATCTAATATTGGATCAAGTGTAAAATCCTTTATTAAAAGAAAAGGTTTAGGATTAATGGTCGACCAAAAGGAAATTGATGTATCTTGACTAGCACATGCTATTACACTAAACTCTTCATTTTTATCACTTAAAAAGACGTTATCGTTAAAAGACACTACTTCTACTGGTAATTTATGACCTACTAATGAATATAAAAAATTTAAATTTTGATCTAAAACATCTACCGTGTGCCTATTATTATTATACTGTAATCCTAATGCTATATAATTACCTTGAACGGATATTTTATTATTCATTCCCGAGGTATCTTCATCAATTTTATAAAATTTTCGTTTAAATAAACTAAAGTATCTTTCATTATCTTTGTAACTTTGTTTATACAAAAATATTTCACCTTCTGAAAATGTAAGGAATGTTTCATTATCAACTGATTTTACGTTAAGAATAGACTTTGTATGATCTTTAAACTCATGCAATCTTTTATGATTATAAATATCAATAACATTAGTTTTTCCATCAAGATTTCCTGTAACTATAAAATCATCATTTATAAAATCTAATGATGTAATATCTGATGATTGTTTTAAATTGTAAAGAAAATCAAATTCACATTCATCAGTAACTTTAAATAAGCTTAACTTTCCATCATCCGCACCACTTGCAAAATACCTACCCGACTTAGAAAATCTTATAATTGTTATTGATCCATTATGTCTTTTAATTGTCTTTACTAATTCATAATTACTAACTGTCTTTCTGGTCCAGATTTTGATATTGCCATCTATGCTACCTGTCGCTATGAAAAATTTATCATTCTTAACTGTTTTATCAATCGAAAAGATTGATTGTGTTTGATTTGATACTTCATGATTTATATTTGTATTCGAAATTATCATGATTTTTTTATTAAAAAAATTATTAAAAATTAAAGAATGGTTTTATTGATTCAATTAAGAATAAAAACTTATTTTTTAAAAAGAGTAAAATTTTGAAGAACATTTGTTTTTTAAAAATAACATTTGTTGTATTTAAACCTTAAAAATAAAAATTTGATTCGTTTATAAATAATTTATACTTTGATAAAAATCTATTGGAAAATAAAAAATACTGTTAGTTAGTTTAAAAACAGTAATCTAGAATTAAAATAGGTTTTTATATAGAAAATAAGCGAATTTTTATAAAAAGTAAACCAATTTAAAAAATAATTTTATATTTTGATTTGTTATTTTTATTAAAACTTATAATTGAATTTTCTTATGAGAAATCATTATTAAATAAAAAATTTTTTATTAAAAACTAATAAGTTGTATAAAAGAATCTATTTATATTATACTTTATAAATAAATCTAATAAATTTTAATTATATTAAAATTTTTGTTAAAAATTATAAATCATATCGGTTTAAAACAATTTTTAATTTTCTGTATGAATAGTTGGATCAAGTCTGAAATTTTCCCCCTGTGGGGAAAATTTCAGACTTGATCCAGATTTTCTAATCAAAATCTAACAAATAAATTTTTTTAGAACCACAAATTAATGAACAAAGAACAAGATTTACAAGAATACATTTAT